ATTAACACTCACAATATGGCACGACATCACCCTTCGTGCATTAACACTCACAATATGGCACGACATCACCCTTCGTGCATTAACACTCCTCCTTACCATAATGCAATGCATAAATAACAACAAGGAGATAGAATAATAAGTACAAACCTTACTTCAACATTTGGTTCCATAATATCAATCTCAACTTTGAAATAAAAACTCAATTATCACCAGAAAATCTGTAAACATGATAAGAACGATAAATTGAACAATACTAGTATAACACGTAGCAATTTGACATAGGAATGAGACAATATAAGAAAAACAGAGAAACATGAAAAACAGGTAAATTGGCGGCGCATAAGTACTAGTCACCTCATATATACGCCGCTCGCATGAATTTCACTTAGCAAGAAATCTAAGGTTCCTAATTCCCCCAAGTCAGGGTTAGACACAATACTTACCTTACTCCGAAGGCCACTTAATTCTCAATCACAACTTTTTCTTTGGAATTCACCTCCAAACCACTCGTATCTATTCAAAAATGACTCAATAATATCAAATATTGCTAAAGGAATCAATTATATTGTGTAAGTTAAACTTTTCCAAATTTTCCTCCAAAAAGTCGAAAAATCGACCTTGGGCATGCTTGTTCAAAACCCGAGGTTTGGACCAAAATTTTTTTATCCATTCACCCCGAGCTCGAATATGTAATTAGTTTTGGAATCCGACCTCAAATTGAGGTCTAAATCCTCAAATTTCGAAATTTCTAAGTTCTACCCAAAATACTAATTTCGCCATAAAAATTCTAGATTCTAGGTTGAAATCTTGTTATAAGATATAAAAGATTGAAAGAAAAGAGTTAGGAATCATTTACCTATGATTTGGGGAAGATTTGGTCTTTAAAAAATCGCCTCTTACGGTTTAGGGTTTTGAAAATATGAAGAATGAATGAAAAATCCTGTCTAAGTCCCTTTTACTCAGCTGTAGGTGTCGCAATTGCGACATGAGCTTCGCAAATGCGAAGGAACAATCGCAATTGCGATGCCCTTCACAATCCTGCTGCCTTCGCAAATGCGAGAAAAGTGTTGCATTTGCGACCACTGAACCTCGCAAATGCGAGTAGATGTTCGCATTTGCGAACCTGCCCTTCCCAGACTCCCATCGCAATTGCAAAGAAAATCCCGCAATTGCGAGAACATGCTGGCCCAGGCCTTCTTCGCAATTACGATAGATACCTCGCAATTGCCAGGCCTGCCTATTTCGCATTTGCGAAGCCTGATCTCGCAATTGCGAGATCAGAGGCCTGCAACAGGTTTAGTTATACCAGCAATATTTTCTAAGTTCAAAACATCCCGTGGCCTATCCGAAACTCACCCGAGCCCTCAGGGCTCCAAACCGAACATGCACACAAGTCTAAAAATATCATACGAACTTGCGCGCGGTTAAATCGCCAAAATAACACATAGAACTACGAATTTAGCACCAAATCAAATGAAATTCTCAAGAACACTTCAAAATTCATATCTTCTCAACTGGACGTCCGAATCACGTCAAATCAACTCCGTTTCTCGCCAAATTTCACAGACAAGTCTTAAATATCATAATGAACCTGTACCGGGCTCCGGAACTAAAATACGGACCCGATACTAACCATGCCAAATATCAATCAATTCTTAAAAACAAATAATTTCCAAACTTTTAATTTTTATCAAAAATTCATAACTCAAGTTAGGGACCTCCGAATTCAATTCCGGGCATACGCCCGGGTCCCATAATTCGATACGGACCTACCAGGACCGTCAAAATACGGATCCGGGCACGTTTAACAAAAATATTGACCGAAATCAACTAAAATCAACTTTTAAGGCAAAAATTCTTATTTTCATTAGTTTTTAACATAAAAGCTTTCCGGAAACCTGCCCGGATAGGCACACAAATCGAGGAAGATAAAAATAATATTTTTAAGGCTTAAGAGCGTAGATTCAAAATCTAAAACATAAGATGACCTTTTGGGTCATTACAATAAACATAGCCAACCCTATCTGTAGCTAGATTATTTATAACATAAGGGGGCAGTCTGTCTAGTAGTTGATGTTCCTTTGGAAGATTGAGAGCTTCCGATTTCACGAAGCCAACACCGCAACACATAGTTTTAATAAGTTTTTATTTTTAATTTTATTTTATGTTCCTCACTCCTCAGAATCTATGTTTTGCAGCTATATATATATGCCGTTTTTTCAATTCACAATATGAAATTTATCAGACTTTGTTTATTAAAACGGCTTAAAATTACATAATAGAATGACAGTAGCACATAATTGCTAGACATAGTTATCTGATATTTAGTCAATTTTATTTACTCCTATTTGTTTAGTAGGATCATCATCTTTAAGCACAGTAAATTAAGTTAAATCTTAATTTCAAAAGTTTTTTCTACTTATATAAATATTTTTGAAACATTGATAAATTGAAGTATGTCAAAATTTCATTTCACGTCATATTACTTTATAAAGAATATTATAAACTCTACGGACAAAGCAACAAAAGCGTAATTTATTGAAAACCATGAGGGATTTTGTCCAAGTTGGAAAAATTACATGTAAAAAAGAAAGCTTTTTATTATATGTTATATTTCTGATTGTGGAAACAAATAATTTTCAAAGAATAAGGTGTTGTTTTAGAAAAAGAGGAACAAAAATAAAATAAAATTAAGTTTTAGAAAAGAAACCTAGCAATCCGAAAAATTATTTATATAAATTTATTTGCAGGAAGTGGGGGACATATATTTTAATCGACGGAGGAACCAAAGATTCAAATTTTTACTATTATTCTTTCTAACTCCTTACTGGTTAGTGCCTTTTTTTCTTTTTGGGTATAATATATAATTCCTTGCAATTGGTGCATAATTCTTTTTATGTTCACCCATTGAAGCTAAAGTAACAATAATATATGTTGGTTATAAATTTTAAGTATACATCGACTACCATAAAGATAAAAAATATAATACAAGACAAATCTACTGATTTTAGTTCATTTTTCCTTTAAATTTATTTTTAACTCCACCCAGTTTTTATTTATGTAAACTTTTTAAAACTTATATTCATTAATATAGGGTTTCACGCACGTAATATAAATATCTGCGAGGCCTAAGGTGGCGTTATGATTTAGGGTTAAACCCACCCCTAACGCCGTTATATGTCTGTTCACAAAGAACAGAAACGGGGACGCCTATTTTCTCCTTATATTTGTAATATATATACAGATAGTCACCGCTTCGCTAGGTTCAGCCATTTTGATATTCAGTCTGCTGCTGCTGCTCCTCCTCCTCCTCATTAGCCACACCGCACACGCCCATTTTCTCTCCAATTCACGTGCTGCACTTTATTGGCTTGATTGATTGAGATAAACCCTAGGATTTTCAGGCACTGGTTTGGAGTTTGGGCATTCATTTTGACCTACACAAGGCGTGCAATCTCCCTTCCGTCTTTTTCTTTTATATCTATATATATGTTACTTTATTTATGTGTATCGGAGTGATTTTTTTGGGATTTGCGTTTCATATCTGGTGAATGTTCGTGAGTGGTGTTTGTGTCCTTTTTATTGTTTAGTGATTTTTGATCTGTGAATACTTCTTAGGATTGAAATCCGTCTAATCATGCTCCTAATATTAAATTTTTTTTTAAGATATGAAATTTGATTAGGTTATCATACCTTCTATCTAAACTCTACTAATCTCATTTTTTCCTTCCAGAAAATGATTCATTGTCTATTTGTTAACTTTTGTGTTTCTGTTACTGTGTGCATTTTTCCCAATTCAAAAGGGTCGAGGCTTGTAATTTCTTGTAGTAGGATAGATTAAGAATGAAGTTAGATTAAGAACAAGCTCTCAGGGTTTACGGAATTGGCATCACTGGAATTTTCTTTGCCTGTGCTTATTTTTTTGCGTGTGTGTGTGTGTATATATATATATATATATANGGTGGATCTGTGGCTTTTTAAGTTTTGAGCTTTGACTTGTTAATTTTCTTGCCTTCATTTATTATCTGAATATGTGTTTCATTTATTGACATGTTTTTAATTGTGTAGTTATTTGACGAGCTTTGGAATTTGCACGTAGGGAGCAACTTTCATCTACCAGAGGAGGCAACCATAAATACATTGGATGCGTTGTGGGAACTGACTTTGTACTCCTGATTTGATATGGGTTTTGATATTGAATGCATAGTTGACATCCATACCTATCCTGGGGAGTATTTCTGTCCTGTTTGTCGCACTCTTGTCTTCCCCAATGAAGCCCTCCAATCACAGTGCACTCATCTCTACTGCAAACCTTGTCTGGCCCATGTTGCCAATGGGAGCCGGGCCTGTCCCTATGATGGATACTTGGTGACTGAAGCAGACTCTAAAGTGAGCTCCCTGTACATTGTCCTTTTAGATAATTGCTGATGGTTTTGCTACTCGTGGTATTTCAAATGTGTTGCATTTTGCTTTTTCTTGCAGCCCCTTATTGAGTCAGACAAGACACTTGCTGAAAGCATAGGCAAAGTTAAAGTGCGTTGTCTCTATCACAGAAGTGGATGCACATGGGAAGGTCCCTTATCTGAATGCACTTCCCATTGTTCTGGCTGTTCCTTTGGGAATTCTCCAGTTATATGCAATAGATGTGGAGTCCAGATTGTGCATCGACAAGTGCATGAACATGCCCAGAGTTGTCCTGTGAGTGCTTTTCATGCATATGTAGTACTCATCTTTTCCTATAAGGAATGATTTCTTAGTATATCTTCTATCCAGGGTGTATATCCTGCACAACAGGCAGCTAATGGTGCCCAAGATAATCCTAGCTCTGGAGCAGCCACCACTGCTGCTGGTGATGACTCGAATCAAACGACAACTCATTCAGGAACTCCAGCTTCTCAAACACCAAATCCTCAAAGCACTACTGCTTCCCTGCTTCATGGACAAGATCCTAATCAGCAGACAAGTGCCAGCTCTCTGGCTCCTGCTACAGCTTCAGCTGGTGTGCCTACTTCAGATCAGTGGTATCAGCAACAATATCAACAGTATGTTCAGCAATATGCTGGATATGATCCTTATCAACAGCAAACTTATCAACAATACTATCCCTATCAGCAACAACCCGTCCAACAATATCAGCAGCAACCTCCAATTTACATGCAGCCACCAGCACAACCCCAGACCCCAATCCCAGCACAGCCTCAATCCCAGCCCCAGCCGCAACCATTGAATCCTCTACCTCAACCTCAAATTCAACCTCAAATGCAAGCTCTACCTAAAGGGCCAACTCAACCACAGGTTCAAGCTGTGGCTCAGCAACATCAAAACCAGGTTCAAGTCAACCCACAGCAGCAGCTTCCACCTACTGGGCAGTCTCATACCCAAATTCCATCACAAATATTTCCGGCTTCTCATGCTCAGCCACCTACTCAGCCTCCGCCATATCCTCAGCCCTATCCGATGCAACCTCATTCACAACACAATGTGCAGGTGCCACAGTATCAGCAGCATCCTGCCCAGGTTCACCCTCCCCAGTCTTCTCAAGCCCAACCGCAGCCGTTTGTGCATCAACCTCATTCACAACTTCAACCGCAGATAAATGTTCAACATCATCAACAATCTCATGGCCAATTCCGCCCACCTCAGGCTGGCCAATCTGCTCATGGACAGACTCAGACCCTCCATTCAACAGCCAATGCAGTTTCAGGGTACAATTCCTATCCACAACCCCAGCCCATGCAGCAAATGCCTATAGGGTTTACACAGCAAACTCCAATACGTCCGCATCTTACTAGTGGGCCTATTCCTCCAGTTCAAACTCATAGTCAGGTTCCTCAACAACCTCCTTTGCGCGCCAATCAGCAATGGGGCTTGGTACCTTCTCAAGGTCAAACTCCTGCACAGTCTCAACTTTATCCTGCTCCACAAGCAGGACATTTAATTCAGCAACATCCTGTTCAGCCTAATCAACAACCAATGTCTCAGCAATACAGTCAACAGCAGGCATTTCCTGGTCCATTGCAGAGTCAGTCACACCAACAGGGTCATCTTACTCACCAGCAGCCTTTGCAGTCTCAGTTTCGCCCTCAAGGTCTTCCTAGTGTGGTTCCTCAGAATACGCACACGTATATCCAACCACAGCAAAATGTTTCCTTACCACCTCCCCCACAGCTTCAACAATCTCAAACATATATAGGAAGACCTGGGATGCAAAATCATGTCCAGGCAATTTCTCAGGCCCATGGTGGGTATAATACTGCACCCCAGGTCAGATCTGTCCAGCCTGCTTCAAGCCAACCACAACTGAATCCAAGTTATGGGAACCACATGAGCAATGAGCTTGAGTCTATGGATCAGAAGAAACGTTCAGCCCTAGAAAGCCATGGCGATCAGTTACCTGACAAAACTGCCGGAAGGCCAGAAGTGGGAGTTCCTTTCCAGGATAATGCTCAAAATGATCTAATTTCCTCTGCAGCCAAATCAACTGATGCAATGGCCCCAAGATTTGAAGCTGACTTAAACGCTGAACAACAGAAGCTTAAGAAAACTGTTGATGAGTATAGACAGAGGGCCAGCAGTGATATACATGTTCATAAGGGTGATTCGGACGAGCTTATGGGCAAAAGAACGGTTAAGGAAGAGGGGAATGAGAATTCTTTGGAGCCTAGATCTGCTAACAAATCAGCTGATGTAACAGTTAAACCAGAGAAAGATGCCTATGATGATGCTCCAAAAGAACTGGACAACTCTTTGGCAAACCATGCATCATCTGATGCTGCTGATGGTTCAATTATGAATCTGAACGCTGGAAGAAATTCACATGACGTTGCCGTTGACAGAGGGGGTTTTCAGCAGTATGGGCATGAGATGCCACCACCAAACTCTGGACCATCTTCTCAACAAAGGCCTTTTGGTCCTATGATAATACCACCAATGCCACCTCCAGGTTGTGCTCCTCATGCCCAAGTTCCCAGATATCCCCCCACTGCAATGATGCCTTCAGGGGATGTGCCCCAGTCTTGTCAGCCATTGAATTCTCGTGATCATCATCCACAATTCCTGAAGCAGCCTAGTAATGCCTCCGTTGGTGCTATACCTGGTCCAGGTTCTACAACACCCTTTGGTAGAGGGCCTGGTCAGTTTCCTCCAGCAGGTGATTACCGAGAGGAGATAAAGGGAATGGGACGAGCACCATTAAGTGGTCCTGAAATTCCCAGTGGAACACAACACTCAGTTAATCCAGCAGAATCTGAAATGTTTCAAAATCAAAGTAATCAGTTCGATGGAAATCAACCAAACCCGTTTCCGCCAGGGTCTTTTGAAAAGGTTCCATTTGGCCAATCTAGAAGTATGGAATCAGCTAGGAATAAAAGGTTGAAGGCGCCTATGGGAGAGCATTTAAGTCCTTTACCAGTGCCTCATGATCAAGGTGAGTTGGAATTTGATATTCAACAATTTCCATAATCATTTAATTTATCAGAAGAAAAATAATCAGTTTCCTAAATGATTACATTAAATAATGAACTTGTTGATGCAGCATCACGGCCACTTGACAAGCCACCTCGCGGATTAGTATATGATTCAGGATCAAAATTGGAGGTCAGTGCTGGGGTTCCACCTAACAGATTATTGCCACCATATCATCCTCCTGGTTCGATGCATTTCAAGGACAGTGGAGAAAGAGAAGCACAACTTGGTCCTCATGATGATGATAGAAGAAGGGCAGGACCTGGGTTTGGTGTGCATCAGATAAGTTACATGTCTGCCCGAAATCCTGATGGGGAGGTCTTTAACATTCCACCGCGCGGATTTCGAAGTCACTCAGGTTTTGAAGATATTGGTGGCAGAGAGCCCTGCCAATTTATTGAAGGGCCTAAACCTTTAAATTTTCCTTCCAATGTGGCTGGTGGTTTATTCTCTGATGGTAGGTTCCAACCTTTGCCTGGCCACTCACATGGACTTGAGGTTGATGGTGTTGGGGACTTGAGAGGTACCGAGCATACTACCTTTATTCGTCCTTACAACCATGTCCATAGTGGTGATATGTTTGGAAAAGACGTTCCGAATCATTTGCATCATCTTGAGCCTTTGGATCCTCAGAAATTACCAAGTCATTTACGTTTTGCTGAACCTGCTGGTTTTGGTACCTTTGCTGGCCGAGCTTATAGGGGGGAGTTGTCAGGGCCTGGTGATTTTCCTGGTTTTGGTGAACAAGTTGGATGCAACAAACCGGGTATACCACGGTTTGGGGAGCCTGGTTTTAGGAGCAGGTATCCTGTCCCGGGATTTCCAAACGATGGACTTTATGCGGTAAGTGTTACATTATGAATCCTGTAATTTTCTTGTTCTTTTCCTTCCATTAGTATATTATTTCTTGAAAATTGAGCTTTATAGCCTGGCAATCTTGTGATGGTCATTATGTGCATGAAATGAGTAGTGTTTTATTAATTTTTTTAACTACAACTTCTCAGGGTGATATGGATTCCTTTGATAGACCAAGAAAGAGGAAGCCCGTGAGCATGGGGTGGTGCCGCATTTGCAAGGTTGATTGTGAAACTGTTGAGGGCCTAGATGTGCATTCACAGACAAGAGAGCACCAGGATATGGCTATGGATATGGTCAGGACTATCAAGGAGCAAAACCGAAAGAAACAGAAGTGAGTGTTCTGTAGATTTTGTAACACCGGCAAATTCCACCGTGTAGATTGTTATTCCATCTGCTACCATTTTGTAGGACTTTTAGTGATCGTGCTGCAGTTGAAGAGAAAGGCAAGCCTAGAAAGGCCGTGTTCGAGGGCCGTGGTAGAAAAGCATGAGTTTGGGATGGTAAACAGGAAGTGGAAGGCAGTGGTTGATGGTTGTAACTAAGCTCTCAATCGGGCGTTTGCATTGCAATGTAGGTGCGAATTACAGTGTCTTTCTTCCTTTTCTGGGGGGTTTTTATCTTAGCTTTGTCATTTCAGGTTGCTGCCCTGTTGTTGGAGATGGTTTTGGATTGGAAGTTTCTGTGGCAGTTAAGTTGTTTTGCCTATGGTTTTGAAATTTTACCTTTCCCATATCAGGACGATTTATGTCAACTTAGTCCTAGTGGATTTGTAGCTATGTTAATGCACTTTCTTGCTTATGCAATCTAGTTTAGGGAAATATTTCCTGCGAATTAAACGTTGCTATGCATTAGGTTCAGCTGTTCAGTACATATGAGAGTTTCTATAAAATGTATGCTCTAGAATTACCTTTATCTTCTAATGCTCCTTCATGCTTCGGGAAAGAAATAATAACTAGTTGTGGTACTTCTTTGGATATGGGATAGTGAAGACTGATCCTTATTATAACCTTGAAATCATACCACATCATAGCTTTTTCCTGTATTCCTTTTTTTGTTAGTCAATAGAAGAACACTTTTCCACAAGGAATGGTATAGAAGTAGTCCTGCTATCTGCTTCCTAACCAAAAGTTTACAATCTATTAGATGATGGATTTTTGGAAAAATAAGAAGGAAAAAAAAACAGTTTGTGAAGGTCAGTTTTGGCCCTGACAGTGCAGTTTGCTGGGCATAGATTGGAAATCTAGTTTACTTTTTTGGTGATCTGAATATCCACTACGCTTAAGAGGGGTTCTTATGCCAGCTTTGGGTTGCTGTGACTACATAAAGCAGCGATGCACACACTTAACCAAACAAAAAAAAAGCAGACACACAAAGGCAGAAGATGTGATCGATGAATGCATTGTGCACTTAGCAACCAGAGATAAAAATATAACCTCCACTCATCAAAGCAGAAAGATAAAAGTAGGAACTCTCGTTTATACAATTTACCATCTTAGTTTTTAGACATGTACTTCTATTGGCTAGAGTCTAAATTATTGAACACTGGAATGAAACGGGTTTAAATGGAATGAAATCATATGACGGTCCTAATAGCCGATCCCAGCTAGCTTGGGATTGAGGCGTACTAATTGGTAAGACATTCTTTTCATTGCTTGAAGATGCTTTCCCGGTCTTAACATTGAAGTTCAGTAAGCACTGTCTTGTGTGCATGCTGTATGGTGTCTGTTCCAAATATGACAGGTCTATGTCTAAGCTGTTAAAATACTGTACTGTAGCATCCATTAGATTGGTAGATTGGTACAACTGTATTATATCGTGTAAAGTTACAGCTGGTGGCCGTCGGTTAACAGACTGTCGGTATCGGATTGCTCTTTTTCTTGATTGAGGGGAGGGGGCTTGTATGGAAGATTTTTATGCAGTTTCTTCCTCTTTTCTGATGTTATGGTTGTAGACTTTGATGTTCTTCTGAGTTAGTATTTTCCTAGAAATTGAGTTATCTAGTTTACCTATTTAGATAAAAGATTACGGTAAGTTAAGAATTGAACTCCACCATAGTTATCTTTTTTTTAAGTTTATACTTCAATTTTGAGCTTTGACCGAGGGGCAGTTGGAGTTCAGACTCAAGGGTGGGTAAATGTTGTCCTGGATCCTCTTTGTTTAGGTGATTAGGATAATGTGGTGTCTAAGTTTTGTCACCAACTCACAATGTTCTAATGCTGATTTAGTAGCCAACCAGAAAAACTATGAAAAGACACGTGTATGCTCTAAACTAAAATCCACCAAGTTCAGATGACATGAAAATGAAATTTTGTTAGAAGGGAATCAGTTTTAAGTAGATAGTTAAAGCTTGTTCTTGAATAAATGCTTATTGCATAAAATGTGAGTTGTGGTAGGGAGAAGCTTCTCTTATTGATCGTGACACATAGCACTTATTTATTTATTTATTTTACAGAGGCTTTTTTTGTGTTATCTCTTTTAGCACTTCCCAGCAGTTTTTTATTTTGTTATGTTCTTTCATGTCTCGGGGACACATCCTGGTTTTCATGATTCTTAATCCATCCATCTTGTAATTCCTGCCTTGGTCTTTTAAGCTGGTCTGCCTATTGCGCAAGCTTAATCGTCAATCTAGGTTGCTTATTTCGCTCTCTCCTTTCCTGAGACTGGTGATGTGACATATGTAGTTTAGTCCTAAAGAAATAATAACAACGTGATTATGTTTGCCCACAAAAAGTTACCCTTTGGTGATTCGAACAAAAGTTAGTAGCAATAGTATGAAATTTAGTTAGTGTGACTCTATTTGGAGCCTCCCTAGTTTATGTTCCTCTTTTCATAGCCTCTTTTCTACTAGGTTCTCTGTTTATTTCTTCTTTGCAAGTTAAAGCACTGCTCTGTGTTTCACTGGTTAATCAGCTGTCGCAAATGTGGGAAATAGTTTCTTATTATTTCAAAAGTTTATCTTTCTCTCTGGGGCTACATTTTGAAGTTAATTTTCTTCTGATTGAAATTTCTACAATAGATCTTTTCCATTCAACCTGTCCTTTTTGGGCGAGGCAGAAGAGATAAAAGGTTGACTCTTCAGCAGAACAGTTTACCTGCAACTTTTTCGGTGGTAAGGATATGCTTGATGTATAAAACTTGTTTATCAGCATATGTAGTGTTTTGTTGGTTGAATTGGTAATCTGCCGGATCATATTCTTTTCTTTAGCCTCCTTTAACATTCTTAGACATCTGTTTAATACATTGCTCTTGTAGTTGAGTAATTATTTGGAAGTATTTTTAGCTGTGCTCTATTTTGGAGTTTAGGTATTAGCTGCTACACTCAAGGGTGCCTTAGTGTTTTTGTCTCATGCACTATGCATGTGGGAGCTTCTATGTGGAAGCTGACATTTCTCAGTGTCCACCCTCAGAGGGTGGGGTTTGGAGATTCTTTTTAAAATAAAAAATAAAAAAAAATTATGATTCGGTGATTATCCTATTATGACTAGTGTAGGCATAATTGTTTGAATGTTGGTCGTTGCTTAGTAAGTGTTTAGATTCTTTTAGGTACAAACATAATCCCATTAGTTGTGAGTTCAACAAGTGCCCCTTTGCGTGCAGCATTTGTCTTTTCAATAGCAACAAATGATATTTTAAGGGAAATCTTGATTGGTTGTGTCTCATCAACGTTATAACATAGATTGATTGTGTATAGCTGGAAATTCACCGGCGAACTTGGCTGTAAACAGGCATATTTATGGCATAATTTGAAGCGACAAAAATTGATGCTTGCTTCACAAAAAATCCACTTTGTGCGGCACTCAAAATGTCACAAGGCATTTTTGAGCTTTTGCTATGTAGTATGTTGCTTTTCAGAGGCTGCTGGTGCTAGGGCTTATAGCTACTGGTATGATGTGTTTATTCTAATCTGTGATACTGTAAGAGTAACAAACATGTCAATTAGCCATTAGCTACTCTTTCTTTAACTGTAACTTCCCCACTGTCCAACCAGTTTCCACTGCGGTATCTAGTTTTTACCCTTGTTCACTATTGTCGCGGAGCATTTTAGATGATAGAGTCGAGCTACTTATTCTCATGCCGAAGGATTAAACATTGTAGTGGTTAGATTTACTTAATAATGGTAATATTTAAAGAAAAGGGAATACTCGGAACACAGCTTATGGTATGAAGTTAGGATTTTGGTTGCTTCCTTAATGAAAATTTGGCGGTCCCAGGATATGATTTCAAAGCTGTAGAGATGTTTTTGCGATGATATGGAGTTGAAATAATACTTGCCTTATCTTATAGGTTTCTGGTTCATTGCAGGTATGATTATAGGAAATATATGAGATCCATCTACTTGGTCACATGATGTAGTTGACTATAAATTAAAGAGATGTTTAAATTTAGGTTCCCTTTCGTTGATCCCTTTTAAATTTGACTCAAAAATTGATTACCTGATATCTGTGTCCTTTGACCACAGGAAGATTCAAAACTCCATGGATTGCCAATGATATATTAATACTATAATAACTAGCTTCCGATGAAAATAAATTACAAATTGCTTAGATGTGTTGTATAATAGTTGTTGCACATCATCTAGGTTCTATGGATGCCAAGTACTATTTAGTAGCAGATGTATGTATCCAAATCCATTGCATCCATGTTGATGCTATAAGAGTTTAGAATTCACTGGTGTTATTAAGGCATCGTTTGATTCCGCATATGGGGGTTTGAATGTAGATTGTTCAGATTTCAGCACGCTTAAGTGCATGTTTTTTCTTTTATAATCATTTTTCTGAATTGGTCCGGTTCATAAATGTTGTACAGAGTTTTGAAATTACTAAGAAATTGATCACTATAAATATTCCGTTCATAAATGCTGTACAAAGTTTTGAAATTATTAAGACATTGATCACTTCAAAAATTCATGTTAATGTCATCTTATATGATTCCATTACTAATGACTACTTCCATCCAACCTCCATGGAACAACTGTCATTGCTACTCAACCACTGATCGTATCCACGTGCGGCATTACAACACTCCCACAACTGCATAACTATCATTGCTGACCTTTGCTATTAGCTTATTGACCGTGCCTCAGCAAATAAATAGTTTATGCTTATGATTTTCTTTAGTATTTCGGAGATTATGTAAGTATCATTTTGTTGAATTTAATATCTTATTAATTTGTGAGTTGAAATAAATTAAAACAATCAGATGTTGAGACGGGTAGAGTTAGATTTTTAGTGTTCATAAGTATAGGTAATATAATACTACTCAGATACATATTCATGTTCCGACGTTTACAGTTAAAAAAAAAAAGGGGTTTTAGAATTTCTTGAACATAGTCGTACGGATATTGATATGATATATGGGTTCTTACGATCTGTAGTGGCTGTTGCATTCAAGTTTTAGCTTTTGAGGAAAGTGGATCCAGAACGCGCTAGGTACAAAATGATCTTTCTGATACAATATAGGGAATATTGGATGACAAACCAGCGACATGGCTCCTCTCTCGTAGAGTGGCTTTAATCATTGGAAGTAATGGCTAGAAAGACTAAGTTCGAGATGATTGAATGCTTTGTATCTGGTGCACTGCATGAAGATGTGACAGATCGTTCAAAGTTGATGATCAAGAGTGTAAAATCCCGCTTAACTGGGGTGCATTTGACTTGGTGTGGTGTGTATGTTTGCTTCGTTTGGATGCTTGTCTCATGGACCTTGGTCATTGAGGAGTTGCAGATGTTGATCGTGAATCGTCATAGCGTTAGCTGAGTTGTGTGCTGATGGTGAAACTTTGGGTCTTCACTTTAAGAGCATGTTTGGAAGGATACTTAGTAATACATTTGTTTGTTTGTCATAATGTAATTATAATATAAGTGTATGTGTTATGTTTGGTTGCACATGTGTAATTACATATTTAGATATTTTTTTTTATCTTAAAATAAATTTAACAATAAAAATTAAATATCTTTTCTTTAAATGGATAAGT